GACCAGGCTCGGTGAGGCACGCTGGCCCCATCCGAATAAACCTAGCCGGAAACTACTATTTGTGCCCAAAAACGTGGCAGGCCAAACTGTATTGTTGCGCATCTCTGGACGAGATTCAGACCCAGAGGCGTTCAGTCTTAATCCTTCAGATGGTAGCTTCACACCATTGGCCACTCGACCATGCACATGTTCCAAATGTCTGAAACCGCGGTTCCTCTCGTACTAAACGGGATTACCATTTCAACGATCAGATTTTATTCACTGCTTACACAGTTCAACCACCAGTAGGGTAAAACTAATCTGACTCAGGACGGTCTAAACCCAGTTAATGTCCCCTATTAGTGGTACAACGCTTGGTGAAGTTTGCTTCACGACGATAGGAAAAGCCGACATCGAAGAATGTAGTGTACCCGATGTAACTTAGTTCATTCCATCAATAGTTACCGTAGTTGCGACGTAGTAAAATAGATTGTCCGGAATTCGATGCACTCACACATGCTTCCTCATAAACAAAAATGTTTGCACAGTGAAATATTAATAGGCGAATAAGCTTTAGAAGGTAATTGTCGTTATCAACCTGTTTCGATGTGCCTGGCTTTCAATAAAATTGATGGCAGAGAACAACCTCTGGCTGGAAGCCAACTCTCCGACTTGGGCCACTGGTTCTCTTTAGGATGTTCGGCGGAGCTTGGACACTGCGTAGGTCTATTGCTTGGTCATCAGATAATGGCGTCTGGTCTAGCAGACCTATGAAGATGATAGAAGAAATGATGCGAGGCAGTCCAGAAGAAGGTAATGCGATCGCTGGAAAATATATTTATCTATCAAAAATCTATAATGAAAATGCATACTAAGTAATTACTTATTTGATAAGTAAGGTTTTGTGCGGACAGCCGAAAAGCCAGTATCCCGTCGGGTTGAATTATCATACGATTGTGCCACATGGTTACCATTTGTACAACCCCACTAGAGAAGTATTTTCTAACTATAAATGCATTTCAAAATGTCGTGTAAGGTTCCAGGAGATTGATCACTGAATGTCTTAAATTAGGGTTTTCATATAAATTATAGGGCGCCATAGACCTTAAATGTGTTGATTATGACAGACTGCCGGCGTTGAAAATGTATGTCGGCTAGCGGAGTGCTTGCAACCAATACTACTCTATGCTGACTTAACTTGAGATTTCACAACTTACCAGAGGAGTTGGTGTTTGAGTTATTGGTGGAAAGCTAAGTTGCGGTTTACTGTCTTCCCACCTAATGCGTGTGCAGGCTTTTTAGACAAGCTTAATCGATAGCGCCCTCCGGCAAGCACCAGATGTCTGAAGTCGTATCTCCAAACTCTCATCTAGCAACGAAAAGAATGCATCGAAATTACAGTTGATCTAAATAAATGTCAACCGAAATCGTGAGATATGTTTTCGTTTCGAAAAGAGTACTTTATAATGTGTTAAGGATAGTTATCATGCAGCATAATCCCAAGAAATTTCAAGCACCTTCGGTAGTCCACTATTGAACGAGCCCCTGTACAGCCGTATGAAAAACATACACTCTGTAAAAATGACTACTTATATAGTAGGTCTCCCTCCCAATGATTTCTGATACACTTATAACTTCAACCATATATTCTGGTTGCCGGCAAAACCTACTGCCCGTAAGGACTGTCTGCGTAAGAAGTATGACTGTTCTTCCTATAAAATTCGATGACTTTGTCAATATCAAGCCGTTACAGCTGTTATCAGAGCCCAAGAACTGAGGCTTCATGCAGAGCGGGGCAACTGAGTTCCGTTAGTGGTCGGTGAACGTTCATCAATGGTATCAGTATAAATGTATATTTAGACTCTGATCAAAAAGTCACGAGTTCGAGGCTCGAGTGGTGCACCACTGGAGTCTGAGTATGACTGGCTGACAACGGCTAATAAGCCAGAAATGGCCATTCCAGTGTCTCCTATTTTTACCGGCACGACTATCTGCCTATACTAATTGCTGCTATAGCTGCTGACAGGTTCCGAAAAAATAAGGCCCAAGGCAAAGGCATAGTGGGACAAGTGAGTTCCTTTAGCCGTCGGTGAACGTTTGTCAACGAGTGGATTAAGAAGAGTTACATGAATGTAACGAAGGTTGTTAACTACGGTTTGAGTAAACACTTTTGCAAATGCCTCAGTAGAGATCAAGCAAGCGGTTCTACAAACGCTGGTACTTTAGATTTATAAAAACGTATTAAGTCCCTAGAAAAATTTCGACCGAACCGGGACCCCCTAGTAATAATTGTTTGTGTTGTTTTATAACCTGCAGCTCTACCATGAGTGGATACCAAAGATGACCGCCTTCTCCAAGAGAGCCGCCGAGGCGTTGACAGACACCCGTCCCGCGGCTCGCATTTCCTCCTTAGTGCAGGATCTGTCCCCACGATTGGTCGGCAGGGCGTCAGAGGGACCGGTCGCCATGGAAACTGCCAGTAAGGTTTCTTCGCCCAGTGCAGGCGGCATCCAGCCGTCCCTGGTCCGACCACCTGAAGAGACGATCAACCTTTCTGCAAACACATCTGCTGCAGAGGAAACAAGGTATTGAAAATGCCACGGAAGTTGACAGAGGCATGATTTGTTAAAACTAAGCTACCCGTTACCGCAGGCCAGAGCATGCACACCAGGGTGCTGGAAAAGGGAGGCACTGGGTGCAAAGGGGTTTTTATTCCGAAGAAGCTCTCATCGTTCATAATATTCATGCAAACAATGCTACTAGAAATCCGTTTTAAGACCCGTTAATTGAAATAGAAAAGCACAATGTCAATTGCACAGACTGCATATTAACACTATATGATACAGTGAGTCGTGATCTATTGGCAAAATAATCATAGTATCCGGGATCCTAGACCTTTGCAACAGTATCCCCTAAAACATACTAAAAAAACAGATGTAAGTAATTACGTACTCTCAAGACGTTCGGTTCGGGCGTTTGTCCACAAACCACCAATTTTTGCCTATATTCAGCGTTTCTCCCTTCTGTTCCGCGTAAACTGAGGAGCAATTTTGGTGTGTTATCTTATGCAACGGCGCTGAGTCGATCTTTGATGAACAGGAATATTTCGCCACTTAGAGTCTGGAGATGATGAGCACTGTGTTTCTTTTCACCTTCGAAACAACTCTAACTGATAGCTTACGGACCTCCATATGGATAAGCGCGAAGATGGTGTCGCTTTTCGTTTGGCTTAAATAAGTCAAGTCTTGTTTGTGCTCTATGGACTGCATACCTCATCGTATAAATTTGAACTGACTTAATTCCAGTGAAAAAACTCCGCTGTACTACATTGCGCTAAAGTGTTTCTCATTTTTCCGCATCACTGGTCGGCATTGTCACAAATATTTTTTTTAGTGGTCCTTTAAAAAAAGACCTGAAAGAACATCCCAAAAATGCAACATGTCTGAAATGTAACAGTAAATACGGCTTTATTATACTCAATCATAATACTCACTCACTCAAAGTCTTTAGTGACCCTATCAAATCTTCTACTTAATCAAGCTAAATTGGTCCGCCAAAATTGAGTCTTAACGTTTAAAGTATTTACATTCGTTAGGGTGGAAAAATACTTGAATACGAATCGGTACACTGTCTCATGTGGGCTTTCCGAATAAAGTTAATCTTTTTTAAGAAAGCCGACGCAAGGTGTTCGGTTGGCGTAGACAAATTGAAAACCACAGAAATACTGACGATTTATTTGTATAAAATTGACCCTCTATTCATTCGACACAAAAAGTTTCATCGAAATTTCCGAAACACTGAATGTGATATTTACAGCAGGTGAGGTCTCTCCTGAACTGTGAAACAAAATTCTGAACACCTTTTCTATTAGAAAATAATACTTAGTTTGGATTGTAACACATACTAAAATGCGGCATAAATCCCAAAATAATTAAACGAAAACAGTTTGTCAGCTTTCAGCGAGCCTCTCTGCTGTCGCACGGAGAATTGCAGATCTTAGAAATAACTACTTAAGTAGTGTAAAGTTTTTGTATTGATTCCCATGCCCTTACAATTGCAAATATCTCTGATAGAAAAAATAAAAGAATACTGTTTCTCCTAGTAATTTTATGGTAGTGTAACCTTCTGAAAAATGTGTATTTAGGGAAATAGTATCTTTCGCTTTTGAGAACATTTTAATTCCCGAATTAGGTTGGACCCGACCTACAGTTTGAGGGTTTCAAACTACATTTTGGATTTATTTTCACGCAAGGAAAGACGGAAATTTACGCACGCTATTGAGCAGTCATCATATAAGTTTCATACAATTCGCCATGGATGCGGAACAAGTTGCATAAATCAGAAGCAGTAGTAACTAACGGATATATATGTTGTTGCACTGGTAAATACTGATTCATTCTTTAAAATCTTATACTTACAAACACTTCCGCAACCAAACGATACCATTTTAAAGTATAATATTTGTCAAAAAAGTTATTCTGACCTACATTTTACAAGAAGGAATGCTTTTAGCAGGTAACATATGCTGACGTCGAAAGGCAGGAAACTAATTCACACTACTTAAGTCGTAATTATTTACCGACTAGGATATTTGGAGGCGCCAAAAAAGGGCATTCTTTATAAAGTCATCATCTTCACTTGACTTAAACATACGGAAATGCGACTACACGATAATCAAGCTTGCAGACGTTACTAAGAAGCTAATTCATATAACACGGTCTGCAATGCTAAGCCATTTTCTTCCCTCAAAAAAATGCGGGAATACTTCCTTGTGTCTTATGGTCTCTATCCTACATCTTGAGACAATCAGCGCATTCAAAAATCGGTGGTTACGGTTGCTACT